TGCGTCCTGCGGGACTGGTGCGGGTGCCTCCGGGCCCTGACCGTTCGGCGGCGGCGGTTGCTCTGCAAAAGGCGAGTTACCTGTGATGAGAAGCAGTAAGAGCGTATTTGTATACTGTGAAATGAAGAAGGATGAGAAGGTGAAGACTGCTCTCGCGGTCCTCGTCCCTGAATCATAAGTCGACGTTTGGCTGTGTTTCCCCCAGACACGTGCGAGGCGCGCGGAGCGGGTGGAGGAGGCGAGCCGTGGGCGTGGTCAGGAGCCGCGCTCCGCAGGGACGGCCGAGGAGCCGGGAGGGCCGGGGAGACGCCTGAGGGCATGACGGGCAGTCCAGGCTCGGCCGCCGAAGAGCGCAGGCTGGACGGGGAGGAGAGGATCGGAAGTAGTAGTTTAAATGCGTCAACGTTTTACCGGCAGACCGGGCCCGGGGGTTCCAGGAGCCACCACGGGGTAGGGAAACAGTAGGAATTACCAGAGCCCGCCGGTAGAAACGTCATCCCGGGGGAAGGAAGCGGCCGGGGAAGTGGGCCGCCTGCTCGCCGGGAGCCGGAGTCCTCGGGGAAAGGAGGTGAAGAGGACCAGACGCCCGGGAGGACGCCTGGCTCGGATCACGGATTCCGCCACAACGGGAGAGTGGAGGAGCCGCTTCCGAGACGCCAGCGACTCAGGGGGCTTGCTCATAGGAAAAGGCATTCTGGAGGGCGTAGTGGGAAAGTTTAGGATGGAGACGGTGGAAGCTTGCGTCAGGGGAGCGAAAGTACAGAAGAAAAAAAAACTAAAAATGAGGCTGTAGGAAATCCGTTTGGATTTTGGCCAGGAATGACAAGCATGTGAGGTATGGTAAGATTAGCAGGCTGGAAAGGTTTTTAAATGATTGGTCCCGGCTGTCCCCTGACGGATTGCACAGAAACCTGCAAAGAGAAGTGGCGAAATGACCTTTTTCAACCTAAATAAGATTGTATTGCTACTTTAAGAGGTGGACCCCACCTCTTATGATAAGTGATAACAACTATAACTTTTTTGAAGGTCAAAGACACTCATATCCAAAGAAAGTGCTCACTATAAAAGTCCAATCAAAATATATTGATTATTATTAAAATACCAAAACAGTTTAAAAATTCTTTTCATTCAATGTAAATAAAGACAGTAAACAGATCAGTGGTTGCCAGAGATTATCAGAGTGGAAGTGAAGTGTTGAATTAGGTGAAACAGTGGATTTTTAAAAGGAGACTTTAGTTTTTAGAATACTTTCAGGTTCACAGCAAAATTGAGCAGAAAATAGAGTTCCCGCATGTACCCGTACTGCCACACATGCACAGCATCCTCCACTGTCAACGTCCCATACCAAAGTGGTACCTTTGTTATGATCAGTGAACCTACATTGACACGTCATTAGCACCCAAAGTTCAGGCCTGGTGGCTAAGTTACCCTGTAATCCAGCACTTTGGGAGGCCGAGGCAGACAGATTATCTGAGCTCTGGAGTTAAGACCAGCCTGGGCAACGTGGGGAGACCCTGTCTCTACTAAAAATACGAAATAAAAATACAAAAAAAAAAATCCCCAGAAGTCGTGGTGGAGCCGAGATTGTGCCACAGCACTCCATCCTGGTCAACATTGTCTCAAAAAAAAAAAAAGGGGGGAGACATTATCTCAAAACACTCTTGGTGTTTTATTCTATGGGTTTTGGCAAAGATATAATGACATGGATCCACCGTTATAGTATTATGCGGAATAGTTTGACTGCCCTGAAAATCCTTAGTGCTCCTGTTCATCCCTTTCTTCTGACAACACCTGGCAACCGCTGATCTGTGCACTGACTGCATGGTTTCGACTTTTCCAGAATGGCATATAATGGAATCTGGAAGTGGCCAGCCTTTTCAGATTGCCTTCTTTCTTTACAGTAACATGCATTTAAGCTTTCTCCTTGTCTTGTCTTGATAGTTCATTTCTTTTTAGTGCTGAATAATATTCCATTGTCAGGCTGTAACAATGTTTATTCATTCACCAACTAACGGGCATCCTGGTTGTTTCTGTGTTTAGGCAATTGTCAGTGAAGCTCCTACAAACATCTGTGTGCAGGTTTTTGTGTGGACATGTTTGCAGCTCCTTTGGACGGATACCAAGAAGCATGATTGCTGGATCATATAGTAAGAGTAAGTTTAGTTTTGTTTTTGGGGGTTTTGTTGTGTTTTTTGAGACAGGGTCTCACTCTGTCATGGCAGACAATCATGGCTCACTGCAGCTTTAAATTCCCTGAGTTCAGATGATCCTCCCTCCTCAGCCTCCCGAGTAGCTGGGACTGCAGGCACAGTGCCACTACACCCAGCTAATTTTTCTATTTTTTGTAAAGGTGGGGTTTCACCATGTCGACCAGGCTGGTCTCAAACTCCTGGGCTCAAGCGATCCTCCTGCCTTGGCCTCCCAAAGTGCTTGGATTACAGGCATGAGCCACTGTGCCTGGCCTGGTTTTACAAGAAACTTACAAACTGTCTTCCAAAGTGGTTGTGCAGCTGGGCCTGGTGGCTAAGTTACCCTGTAATCCAGCACTTTGGGAGGCCGAGGCGGACAGATTATCTGAGCTCTGGAGTTTGAGACCAGCCTGGGCAACGTGGCGAGACCCCGTCTCTACCAAAAATACAAAATAAAAATACAAAAAAAAATCCCCAGGAGTGGTGGTGGAGCCGCGATTGTGCCACAGCACTCCATCCTGGGCAACATTATCTCAAAAAAAAAAAAATGGGAGACATTATCTCAAAAAAAAAAAAGGAATTTAACACGGGAAACTGGTTACAAATATATCCGAGGGGTTAATTAAGAGCAAAAAGGGAACATGTGAGATTACCCAGGGACTAGTAACTACGGGAAACTCTGGGCTGGAAGTGTGAAAGCGAAAATAGTTTTACCCACAGCTACCATGATTGACTCTCTGAGGCTGCTGACTTTGGCACCTTTACCACCAACAGGCAGAAAGCCAGGAGCCAATACTCCAGCTTACACTGCAGGCATCCAGCAGAGCAGCAGCCATAGGAGCCCACAAACTCTGAACAGCTGAGGTTCCCGGAACCTCTGCTACTACTGCTGGGGCTAGAGCTGAGTGCTGCTGTTCAAATCACCTCTGAGCAGGAAGCCAGGCTCACCCATTGCCACCACTACTCAGCTGTGTGAGCTGCCTCCACAAATTGGATAAAAGGTCTTCTTCCTCCTACATCTGAATCCCCTATGTCTCTCAATGGCAAAACCCAACTAGAAATGGAGAGCTAATAAGAGTCTGGGAAAGCAAATTGGGAGGTTTCCAGTTCGTATTCTGGAAAGAATGCGATCTACAGTGAAGGCTAGGCATGACAGTTCACACCTGTAATCCCAACATTTTGGGAGGCTGAGGCAGGCAGATCACTTAATGTCAGGAGTTCGAGACCAGCCTGGCCAAGATGGTGAAACCGTGTTTCTACTAAAAATACAAAAATTAGCTGGGTGTGGTGGTGAGCGTCTGTAATCTCAGCTACTCGAGAGACTGAGGCAGGAGAATCGCTGGAACCCTGGAGGTGGAGGTTGCAGTGAACTGAGATTGTGCCACTGTCCTCCAGCCTGGGCAACAGAGTGAGACTCCATCTCAAAAATATAAATAAATAAATAAATAAATAAATAAATAAATAAATAACCTGCAATTAGTTAAGAAGCTTTCACATTTTTTTCCTGCTCTGGGCCAGTTTAAATAGATTCCTATGAAGATTTTGTAGAAGATTCCGTGAAAATTTTGTAGATGACATTCACAAAATTTTATCAGCCTGATGCCTTTGGTGATGATAAGTATAGTTAATTTTAACTACCTTTTAAAATTATTTTATTCATGGCCTCTTCAGATTTTTTACCTTTTGTCAAGACAATTTTGATCATTTATATCTTCCTTTAAAAAATCGACCATTTTGTTCTGGGCATGGTGGCTCATGCCTGTAATCCCAGCACTTTGTGAGGCCGAAGTAGAAGGATTGCTTGAGCTCAGGAGTTCAAGACCAGCCTGGGCAACATAGTGAGACCTCATCTCTACAAAAAAAAAAATTTAGCCAGGTGTGGTGGCACACGCCTGTATTTCAGCTACTCAAGAGGCTGAGGCAGGAAGAGGATCACTTGAGCCCAGGAGGCAGAGGTTGCAGTGAGCTGAAATTGTGCCACTGCACTCCAGCCTGGGCGACAGAGTGAGACACTGTCTCAAATAAATAAATAATCAGTCATTTCACCAAAATATTTAAACTTATTAATATAGAGTTATATATGTTAATTTCTTGCAATTTGTAAAGTCTCCGTATCTGATGTAAGGCTTTTTTTCTTGTTTCCATTGCTTTTTGTCTTACTATCTTTTTTCTTAACATTTTGCTTTTCAATGAAGTATAATATAGATTCCAAAATGTACACATATCATAAATGTACAGCTCACTGGATTTTCGCAAGCTAAACACATTCATGCAGCCATCACCACCTCGAAAAAGGGAGCATGTCTCACACCCTTAAAGCTCTCCTGTGGTTCCTTCTGGTCTTTACACCCCTCCCCAAGCAGTAACTACCGACTTCCTTCCTAACGACATAGGTTGGTGTGATGATTAATTTTATGTGTCACCATGGTTAGGCTGTGAAGCCCAGTTCTTCGCTCAAACACTAGTCTGGATGTTGCTATAAAGGTATTTTGTAGATGTGATTAATATCTGCAATCAGTTGTGTTCCGTGAAAGGCTCATATTAATATATACGAAGCGACCCCCAACTGCTGAAGGAGCTGAAACCAGAGAAAGGGGCAGACAAATCCAGGTTGTCAGTTTTGGGCGATTTATTACAGCATTCTGTTTTGGGGAATTTATTAGGGGATTGTATTTATTGACTTACTAGGGGAACTTACAGACGGAAGTCTTGGGTCTTGCGGTCTTGGGTGGCTGCAAGACAGGTAGATCTCCACTCCACAACCCCCCAGACACACAGCTTACATCTTGGGAAAAAAGCATACGTGCTCTGGAAGGAAGGGGCAGGTGGCTGTGGTGTCAGCCTGTGATTTCTGCAACAGCAAAGCTTGTGTTGGAGGCAAGTTACAATAAATAGGTGTTCCTACACAAAGAGTAGTATATCAGCTAGACGTTTTGGAAGCGTTCTCAAACTCAGGGTTAGTGGGAACTTACATGGTAGACTGGCATTTTAAATTGGCCAGGGGCGGTGACTCACGCCTATAATCTCAACACTTTGGGAGGCTGAGGCAGGCAGATCACCTGAGGTCAGGAGTTAAAGACCAGACTGGCCAACAGGGTGGAACCCCGTCTGTATTAAAAATAAAAAAATTA